GTTTCTGTAAATGAGGTACAGAAAAGAAATCATCCCTAGTCTTGCCCAGTGCTCTGGACACAGCCCACCCAGCGATAACGAAGAGGACAAAAGACTGGTAGCGAGGGCCCTTGTTAGCCCTAGACTCTCCAAGTCAGTAGTAGCTCAAAGACACTCCAACGTGGCAACAACAAACCAACCAGGAGGCCAAAAAACAAAAGCCCCGGCAGAGCTCCTGGGCAGACCCATTTGCCACTTCCAGAGGTCGGGCTGCGGAAGGCTGGGTAAACCGGAGGATGTCCACTCAGCTTTTTAAAAAGCCGTGGGTAAAAGTGAAGTCAGAGGTGGCAGGCAGTTCTTTGCACAAGGGGTCCAAAGGAACAGGCGTGCTCCTAAGTGCCAGCCGCGAGACGCGAGTAATGCCCCCACTGTTTCAGGAAAATCACCCGAAGGGAGTCAGTAACCAGGTAGGTGAAACTTGAAGCAAGGAGAGACGGGAGCCAGCTCCGGGGAGGGACCCTCCGCAGAGGCCCCCGCAGCGGGTCTGGCAGCAGAGTTCGCGCCCACCCCTTGGCAAGGCCGCTGGGGAGGCGCCGGGAAGCGTCCAGGCAGGAACTCGCTGCGGTTCCCTCGGCCTGGGGCTGGCGGAGCACTCTGGGGACTTTGGAGGGCGGTGTGCCCCAGACCCAAGTGTCTCGGTGGAGACACAGACCACTCGGCCCGGTGTCACCGTGTGCCACCCGCGGGGGCACCACGCCACACAAGGGAAGCGGCAGCGCCCACATCTGCGGGTCCCCACCAGCGCCCATCAGCTCGCCGTAGTCCCCGAGCCCCGAACTCGGAGCGCGCGCCAGTGTTTGTAAACAAACCGGTCACGTGCCCGCGGCAGCCTGCTCCCCGCCCCTGGAGCCCCGGGAACCCTCGAGGAGCCCCCGCGGGACCTCGCCAGCATCGCCCCAGCCGAGCTGGACTGCGGGCTGTACGGGAGCCCGACCGCCTGCAGGGCACGCAGCCCGAACCCGCGCGGACAGCGCCCCACGCCCACGCGCGACCGGCCAGCGATCCCTTTACCTGGCGGCAGGCTGCCCGGTCCCGCCAGCGCCAGGCTCGGCCGCTCCGGAGTGCTTGGCGACGAAGGACTGCACGGCTGACTCTAGCGCTCCCTGCGCGCTCTTAAAGCCACAGTCTCCGCTACCGCCGCCGCCACTGCCGCTCCGCATCCCTCCGGAGTCCGGGCCGGGGGCTTGCCGGGTGACAGACGCGCCCCCGCGCCTATCCCATCGGCTCAGCACATAGCAACACGCCACTGGTTGGTCCGGCACGGCCGCAGCCCATCAGCGAGGAGCCAATCAACGGAGGACGGAACTCCGCCCCTGCTTCCCCTGCCTCCCGCCCCCCACCCCCACCCGCCCCTCCGCCCTGGCGGGGCGCGCGTGCGAGGAGTGTGGCGAGGTCCGGGTCCCGCCAGTCCGGGCAGCTAGCGGGCGGGGCTGGGAGGAGGTATGATTGGGATGGGTGAGCGTGCCGAGATAGGAGGCTGTTTGTTTGGGTTTACTGGGATTCCCAGGACCCGGGGCTATGTTGGGAAGTGGGATTTATAGTGCTTCTGCTCGGAGAATCTAGAGTAATTCCTTCCTTGGTTTGTAACTCCTGACCCAGAGCCTAAGTTACCAGAAGTGGCCCTCAGACTTCAAGGCAGGTGGATTTAATAAGAAAGTACCAGTCTCACCAGGCCCACCCATGCCCTGCTCAGAAGCAGGGACAATTCTCTCTTCTCTCTCCCCTGATAGTAATTTCAACCAGTTAAAACTAGAAAAGGGTTGCCTGGTGGGTGAGAGGCCCTGGGTTCAATCCCCAGTGGTGGTGGTGGTGGGGAGCATGCATGAAGGACTTTAAGAGGAATTAGGGTGCCCTGTTGATGGTTTTCCAGGGTCTTCAGAAGTTAATGAGGTCGCTTAACCCCAGCAAGTAGACAAGGAATGGTCAACATGACCGAAGAGGAGGAGCCGGCATTCTGGGTCAGTGGGGTGGTGCTTTTCAAGGAAGAGAAGGTTAAAAAATAAACTCATGACAGTCGGGAAATCCAGGGAGGTACCAGGTGGGTGGAGTGGAGCAGAGTCTTCCAGCAGGAAAGCAGGTCAATTTGATAAAGAATTCCTGCCAGAGGACAGAGCAAGTCCAGCCTTTCACTGAACCACTGGGGTTCTGCATGGGGGGGGGGGGGGCAAAAACATGTTTTCATGGACAGTTTAGAAAGGAGAAAATAAAAAGAAAACTGCATGGTAGTTGGGCAGGGTGGTTCATGCCTTATAACCCAAGGGCTTGGGAAGTGGAGCCAGAAGAAGGATCAGAAGTTCAAGGTCATCCTCAACTGCATAGCCAATTCCAAGCCAGCCTAGGTTATCTAGGTTATGTAAAGAAAAGAAAAGAAGCTGGGCGGTGGTGGCGCACGCCTTTAATCCCAGCAATTAGGAGACAGAGGCAGGTGGATCTCTGTGAGTTCCAGGCCAGCCTGGGCTACCAAGTGAGTTCCAGGAAAGGCTCAAAGCTACACAGAGAAACCCTGTCTCGAAAAACCAAAAAGAAAAAAAAATAGTTTCTGGATGTGAGGTGCTGCCGGAGGTCCAGGTAACTTCTGTCTCCTACTCAGTAATTTACACATAAACCCAGTGTGGTGTTTGGGTAGATCCCCAGGTGACTCAAAATGTCACCTATAACTCCACCCAGCTGTTTTTAATGTACATGCAATCAACCAAGTTGTCTTCAGTTAATGTACATCACATGGTTAGGTATGGATTCAATTAGTAAAAACCGCCTCATATTCTATAGTAGATATCAGTTTCAGTGGAAGGGCGATGTCATGGTTTACAATCGACAACTTTGAGAGTCTAAATCCTGAGGGCAAAAAGCCTTCAGCTAATTAATCACAAACTTGAAAGGTTTAAGGTTTAATCTTTAAGAATATACATTGGCCAGGCAGTCATGGGCACGCCTTTAATCCCAGCACTCGTGAGGCAGAGTTCTCTTTGAGTTCAAGGCCAGCCTGGTCTACAGAGCGAGTTCCAGCACAGGCTCCAAAGCTATACAGAAACCCTGCCTCAAAAACAAAAGCAAAACAAAACAAGAGAATATATATAAAATTCTTTAGATTCGATTACCAGCCCAGGGCTGCCTCCTGGGTAAGTTCCTTTGTGGCCTTAGGCCTTAGTTCCCACAGCCTAAAATAAGGAAGGGCTGGGGGCTGGAGATGAGCTCACAGTAGAGACCTTGCCTAGTGTGCTTGGGGCTCTGGATTCAATTCCTATTACTGCAAGCATAAAGAAGGAGGGCTGAACTAAGATGGTTCCTGAATGAAGTCCCTTCCATCTCTAAAGTTTCAAATAAGAAGCCAGAAAAATCAAACTTGTTACATTTCTGCAATATTGTGTTAGTGAGTATGTTTGTATCTACAGGTCCCCTACTCCCTAACAGTAGATTCTGTGCACCCTAGGATACTGGTATGTTATGTAACAAGATTGGAGGCTACTGTTTTCTGTTTGAATAAAAGATAACATTAGCTAAAGAAGCCTGCCTGGTGTGGGGTGCTCTGAGGACCCCTGCAGGCCTGCTGTGTGATTGCAGGTGATTTGGAAGAGGCAACAGAACCACGGGCCTCGAAAACAATAGGATCAGCCCTCCAGCAAAAAAAAAAAAAAAAAAATGATTAAGCCAGATCATGCATCCTCCCAAGCAAAGGAGCCAAGCTCTGTGAGTTGACAGGAAAGAAAGGAGAACTGAGACAAAGAAGTGTGTGTCTGTGTGTGTTTGTGTGTCTGTGTGTGTGTGTGTCTGTGTGTGTTTGTGTGTGTGTCTGTGTGTGTGTGTGTCTGTGTGTCTGTGTGTGTGTGTGTGTCTGTGTGTGTGTGTGTGTGTGTGTGTGTGTGTGGAGGGGGACGGGGGACAGGGGACGGGGGACTTAAGTGCTAGAACCTGCTCTCTTTCTCTCTAAGCCCAACCACCTTCACTGGCCCTCAGCACACATTTAGTCAGTGCCCATCTTGAGCGCCATTTCCTGCTTGACCGGGTCTTATTCTGAGAGCCTATTGAGAGGAAATAAGCGCCGGCCAATGGGCAGTTGAGAATAGACAGATGTTTATCCCGAGGACAACAACAGAGATGAAGTAGTGTTTAGAAAGACAGCGACAGATGTACTCAGAGGCAAAAGACCCAGTTTAAAAAAAAAAAAGAGGGTTGGGGATTTAGTTCAGTGGTAGAGCGCTTGCCTAGCAAGCACAAGGCCCTGGGTTCGGTCCTCAGCTCCAGGGGAAGGGGGGGAAAAGAACAGTGACAATAAAAGTTCCTGGTCTCACAGGCACATTATCAGCCTGGCTGTCTCAGGAAGTTTTACTCCTCTGTGATGCCAAGCCGAGTCTATTCATTCCCAAAGCCGTCACAATCATTCTTTTCCATTAGCTTAGATTATCAATCCCGTGTTCCCAACTTTGGCCACGTAAGTGCTACTATTGCTGTGAACAAAGTTACTTTTTTGGCTTTTTGGTTTTGTTTTCTCTTTTTATATTTATTAATATTAGTTGGTTTATTTTGTTTTTGGAGATAGAGTCTCTATTATGTAGCCCGGCTGTCCCAGAACTCAGTATGTAGATCAGACTGGCCTCGAACTCACAGAGATCCACCTGGCTCTGCCTCCAGAGTGCTGGGATTAAAGGAATGCACCACCATCGCCAGCCTCAAGGTCGATTTTTAAAGTATATTTATTTTGCTGTGCGTGTGTCTTTGTGTACATGTGGAAGTCAGGAAAGGACAACTTGTGGGGGTCAGTTCTCTACTTCCCCTTTGTTTTTGTTGTTTGTTTTACAAAGGTAGAAAGAGAAATGAGGAGGGGTTGGAGAACTAACTTTACTTGGTTTTCTTTCTTCCTTATTTTTGTTGTTTTGTTTGTTAATCCAGTACACTTAATCTGCAGAGATACTGAACAAAATAATAAGGAAAACGATATAACAGTTAGAGTGGCAATTCAAAAAGTTGCATGGGAGGGGACTGATGGGTCTTAGCCAGCTGTCCAAGTCAGACAGAGACCTCCATGACTGTGTAGAATCGATGCCTTCTGCAGACAAATCATTTGTCCACAAGGCTGACGCTGAAGCGTCCCATAAACTATTTTGTTAATGTGTGTATCTGTGTGCATATGTACCACGTGCGTGTGGTACTTACGGAGGTCAAAAGATTGTGTTCCATTCCCTGTAGTTGGAGCTACAGGCAGTTGTGAGCCACCTGATGTGGACGCAGGAAGTGGAACCCTATCCTCAGGAAGAACAGCAAGTACTCTTAGCCATTCAGCAACCTTTCAGCCCTTCAAGATAACTTCATTTAGAGCAAAGGGAGATTACAGGTTAGAGAGATGCACTATAAACTGGACCGCTAAAGGAGAATCCTCGAGGACCAACTGCCACCTTGTTGAGTAGGGTCACTCTTGTTATTTCTTTTCACTGCATATTTCAGGTCACCTGTCCTGAGAACTTCTGGCTAAGTTGCCCCTAAACTCCAGGGGCCAAACTCAGGTCCTTAGTCTTCAGTTGGAACCTCCAGCTCACCCCTACATGATCAGGGAAGCCCCAGTCCTCTCTACTTTCTCCTCCCCCTGCTTCTCTCTCTCTCTCTCTCTCTCTCTCTCTCTCCAAACCCAACCCCCTCAGAGTCTCCAAACAAAGGGAAGGCACCAAAAAGCCTAGTTCCACACTCTCAGTGGCTACTACAGACTCTCCTGCACTTACTAACCTCCAAAGTCCCCGCCTAAAGCATTCAACTTTTGACCATATTTGGGCACAAACCCAGCTTGTGGCAGACACATCATCACCCCTCATCAACAACCTATATAGTCTCTCTGCTTTAGCTCGGGCTTGTGGCTTCTCTGGCCTCCATCTCTGAGACTGGAGAACCCACCGGGGAGTTGCTTTGCTCACATAAACTTGTTGTTTATACTTTTTCAATTCAGCTTTTCTGGCTTACTGCCTTGGTGGAGAAACTTATTATGGGGGCAGAAAACCTAATACTTAGGTTTGCACAAGCCCCTTTACCTTCGGAGCAATAGTTCTAGCCTCAAGACTACTTTTATCTGCCCTCATTTTGTTTTATTGTCTAAGACAAAGGCAAAATCTATAGCCCAGGCTGGCCTCACCGCCACAGCAATCCTCCTGCCTTAGCCTCCTAAAGGCTAGGATTATGGCTGTGTACTGCCAAGTTCTCTGTGTGTGTGTGTCTGTCTGTGTATGTTTGTGTGTGTGTGTGTGTGTGTGTGTGTGTGTGTGTGTGTGTG